TATATATATATATATATATATATATATATATATATATATATATATATATATATATATATATATATATTTATTTATTTATTTATTTATATTCTTCACTGTGGACTGCTTTCACCTGCCAGCACTGTAAATACTGTGGACTGGAGCTAACTGAGTTAGTTAGCCACTTGGTCTGTTAGTTAGTTAGTCAGTTAGTTAATTCATTGTTATGATTAGATTAGATATGCAAAATTCCACAGTGGATTACTGTAAATATTGACTAAAACAACCTAAGATTCACTTTCAAAATCTTAACACTAGTTACAGTTAACAAGTGCAGTTGCTAGGATGTTCTTGGTGGTTGCTTAGAGGTTATTTTTGGTTCCTATAATGTTGTTTTGCTGTTTTTAGGCAGTCTGTAGGGTTTTGCTACTATGTTAGTTAGTTAGTTAGTTAGTTAGTTAGTTAGTTAGTTAGTTAGTTAGTTAGTTAGTTAGTTAGTTCCTAGTACAGATTCTACTAATTTAACATACAATTTCTAATTTGACATAAAAGTCACTTCTCAACATTAGTTAAAGCAGGGAGTTGCGAGGGTGTTCTGACTGGTTGCTAAAGTGATGTTTATGTAGTCTATTGTTCTGTTTACTGTTTTTAGGCACTTGTTATGGTGTTGTTGGTAGTGTCTAGGGTGTTGCTATGAGGTTGCTAAGGTGTTGTGGATGGTTGCTAGGGCATTTCCGTGTGATTTTGATTGGCCCAGTATATTTTCTTACTTACCTTCACCAATGGAGCAACCCAAACACCAGCAGTGATTGGTTGGCATCTGGGCCATGTTGTTTGGGTTGGCAGTGATGATTGATGAATTCCGGGTTCCAGCTGATATGGTTAGCATTAGCATGTCCTGTTTGACGAATGGGCCGGCGAGCTGTGCTGCCCTGCTCTACTTAATAATGCTATTGCCCTGGAGAGCTGTGTCAAGAACGCATTTCAAATGGAAACTGATTCTGAAGTGGACACTAATGTTTTTATCTGCGGAGCATGCAGGTCGGTTCTTGAGTAAGTAGCATTGCTCCATATTACATCAGCGGGAGGGCTATTGATTTGATAATATAATCAAAAGCTTGTGTCCAAATAGCAGTGGGAAGAGTTAAAGACAGTTCACCTAGAAAGGAATGTCTCCTGACCATTTACTTACACTTGAGTGTTTCTAATTGTTTTTGATATCCTGAAAAACAGCCATTTACATCAATTGGAATAATAAATAAATAAATAAATATTACAATTTTTAATTGCTTTTCCCCTAACATTGTTTAAAACTTCAAAATACCCTTTAAATTAAAGAAAATAACTAAAATATGCATTAAGAACAGTGTTTCGTCTTTTCCATGGGATCATAAGGTGGGCGAAGCAGTGGCGCAGTAGGTAGTGCTGTTGCCTCACAGCAAGAAGGTCGCTGGGTCGCTGGGTCGCTGGTTCGATCTTTGGCTCAGTTGGTGTTTCTGTGTTGAGTTTGTATGTTTTCCCTGCGTTTGTGTGGGTTTCCTCCGGGTGCTCCGTTTTCCTCCACAGTCCAAAGACATGCGGTAAAGGTGAATTGGGTAGACTAAATAGTCCGTTGTGTATGAGTGTGTGTGAATGAGAGTTTGTGGATGTTTCGTAGAAATGGGTTGGGGCTGGAAGGGCATCCGTTGCGTAAAAAAAACATGCTGGATAAGTTGGCGGTTCATTGCACTGTGGCAACTCCCGATTAATAAAAGGACTAAGCCAACAAGAAAATAAATGAATGAATGAATGTAATCACGAGTGGAAGAACCAGAGACTTTTTTGCAATTCTGTGCTCATTTTTCAGCATCAATTACTTTAACATTCTTGATTCACTTGGAAGGCTTTTACTCTTACTTTGTTTCATACTACAATGATAATAAACATTGAATACTTTAGTTCACCCATGAACGTAACAGTGTTAGTTTTGACAGAAAATTTAGATTTAGTTTTAGTCTTAGGCTTTTGACTATAATTCTATTTTAATTTTAGTCATATTTTAGTCTTCTTCATCATTTTAGTTTTAGTTGAATAAATCTACTCTAGATTTAGTCAACAGAAATATATTTGGTTTAATTTAAGTGCAACTTGATTAAAATATTGTAAACTTTTATTATACTTCCAATTTAAGATTAAATAAAACAGTCTCATTAAAATATGGAATAAAGCTTGAATAAAGCTCCAGTGAAGACAAAAAATTGGATATGACATTGTTTATTTATATCATAAGAAAAGTGTAATAATATATTTTGCCAATCATTCCACATGAGAACAGTAGCTATCTGAAACTTGTTTGTCACTTAAATCATGCCAATAATTATTTTTTTTTCACCAATAGTAACAATGGAACATAATTTCTGTAGGAATCCCATTTAATGTAATGATATATAAAAAAAAAAAATGCTGTTTGGTGGCCAGAAATGCTGTTTCTCGCAATGCAGAATAACAACTTTTTCAAACTCTTTCAGATCATTTGGTTTTCCTTTTAAACTTTTAAAAACATATGTAAAACTGCATGTTATGTTGTTTAAAACAAAAACAATGATTATTTTCATTGTTTTTAAGCAGATTCATAAATTTCTGTTCTGGGCTGCTCCTAAAGGCCTGAAAAAGCCATTTCTCAAAAGAGAAAGAATGAAAGAAAAACTCCCTAATTCTACACTCGGTCACACCATCATCAAACTATGCCTTTGTTTGTGGTGAATATGCGCCCTCTGATGGTGAAAATTACATACTGCATCTTTAATGTTCTACTACAGAAAGCCAAATCATCTTAGATGGCCTATGGCTTAGTAAATAATCAGCATATTTTCATTTTTAACTATCCTTTTAGGATCCAGTCTGTTCAAACATTACAAACCCAATGGAAGAGAAAAACACGATCCTTAAAGCATTCCACAACGTAGCTCAGACACACACTGACACCTTCAGCTCTCTGTCAATGATAAGGTTCCCAAGCTGTTCTGCCTCGCCGATTCAATTATATTTCGGGGCTGATTATACTTATTTATTTATTTTATTTTATTTTTTTTCAAAATTGGCACAAACTTAAGACTGGTGGCACTCTAAAACAGAATAGGAAAAACACAAAGCTCTGGGGAAATTACAGATTTAACGGTCTGACTGCGCTTTAGGGTGAGTTAAAGTGCACACGCTCGTGCAGTAATGAATTACTCATTGGAGTGTGTTACAAGATTGACAGCATTAAAGAGATTTGTGCTTGTGATCCGCCGCGATTATGATGAGATCAGACCAAGCAAATCAGGGTTTGGAAATGAAGATATCACATTTAGCATGTGACGGCACTGCCACAACTTTAAAAGCGTTCATTAAGACTTGCAAATTAGCAACACGGTTTGTGGGTTCATCAAATTTATGAGCTTGTATGTGAAACACAGATTGAGATGCAATGTTGATAATTGTTCCTTTTTTTTTTTTTTTTTTTTGAGACTGACGTTTGTGAGGTTATATATTTTTTGAGCTTCCTGTTTTGTATGTGAAAAAGAATGAGATGTTGATCATTACTGATAAGTGTTTTTTTTTATTTTTTTTTTAAGACTGACTTGTATTTATGTGTGAAGGAACATTTCAGGTTCATTAGAAGTGATGTATAGAGTCTGTATTAGTAGTAGCCATGCAAGAAATTAAAATAAAATATATAATTGTAATATTTTAAACCATCTAGTTTTTTTAAGTTTTTTGCTCACAAGGGTAACTTGAATGTATATATATACAGTTGAAGTCAGAATTATTAGCCCCCTTCGAATATTTTTCTTCTTTTTAAAATATTTTCCAAATGATGTTTAACAGAGCAAGGATATTTTCACAGTATGTCTGATAATATGTTTTCTTCCAGAAAAAGTCTTTTTTGTTTTATTTAGGCAAGAATAAAAGCAGTTTTTGATTTTTTTAAAAAGCCCTTTTAGGGACAAAATCATTAGCCCCTTTAAGCTATTTTTTTTTCTTAATCTACAGAACAATCTACTGTTATACAATAACTTGCCTAATAACCTGCCTAGTTAACCTTATTAACCTAGTTAAACCTTTAAATGTGACTTTAAGCTTTATAGAAGTGTCTTGAAAAATATCTAGTAAAATATTTTTTTACTGTCATTATAGCAAAGATTTAAAAAATCAGTTATTAGAAATGAGTTATTAAAACTATTGTGTTTAAAAATTTGTTTAAAAAAATCTTCTCCCAGTTAAACAGAAATTGGGGTAAAAAATAAACAAGCAATCTAATAATTGGGGGGGGGGCTAATAATTCTGACTTCAACTGTATATATATATTTATATAGAGATAGAGAGAGAGAGAGAGAGAGAGAGAAAGAGAGAGAGAGAGAGAGAGAGAGAGAGAGAGAGAGAGAGAGAGATAAATGGAGTTTACCTTCATTCTCTCGATCGCAGTGAAATAGGGGCTTCTGCTGTAAGTGTCAGTAAACACACAAGCAGTGAAATTGTGCACAGTTTCTGTGTTTTTAAGTAGCTGGAGCATTGTAAATACTTGCGCTCACCTCCCTCGCCATAGTAAGCTATGGCGACATAGCGCATAAGAGAAAAATGACGTCAGTACATAATAACCGGTTATGATTATTACTGAACTGATACCGAATTGTCCACGTCTGCATCGCGGTGCACCAAAGAAACAATTAATTTTGATACCTCTATTAATAATATTATACTGTATAATCATTTGAAACATGAAAACTGTCAATTACAGTTAATATGCTATGTAATAAAATCACCTAAGTACATTTAATCTGTTTCTAATCACCAAAAAGTGACGTTTCATCTTTTTTTCTGCTCAATCAAATCATCCAACCCAAAAAAAAAAAAAAAAAAAAAAAAAAAAAAAAAAAAAATATATATATATATATATATATATATATATATATATATATATATATAGTGTTTGATTTACTTCTTATTTTTGGTTTCTGTGGCTAGTGAGGAATCTAAGAGCCTATTTTTGTGTTTTTCAGATCATGCTGCTGACGGATCCAGAGGTAGAGAGCAGTTTGCTCATCAGCTCAGACGAAGGAGCCACCTATCAGAAATACCGCCTCAACTTCTACATCCTCAGCCTGCTGTTTCACCCCGAGCAGGAGGACTGGATCCTCGCTTATAGCCACGAGCAGAAGGTACACAATCATCCCAGCTAAATCATTCCTAAAAATGAGTAATTACGGTATGAGGCATTCAGCAAGGCACCATTCACGCGGCTCTCTAATTATCAAGCTGTTTTATTGCCAAATGCATGAAAGCCAAACGAAAAAAAAGGAAAACAAGTTTATAGTATTTGCATACTTGATAAAAAGCATTCCAGACACAAACTGCAAAGCAAAGCATTACAATAAATAAAAGCATGCGTGCAAATGGATGCTAATCTACTGTATATTTGGGTTTGAAATATGTGCTCAGAAGGCAATTATCAATGCGAGGGGAAATACGTCTTAAAGAGACAATTTCAGTGAGCTTAAAGTTGGCAATTAAGACAATTTATGGATCCCCAGTCACTGAGAATTACCATTAATTATATGCTTTCGAGCTCATGGTTTGGAGCTGATAAATAATAGAAAATCTTTACTCTTCTGAAAGAAAGATTGTTTAAGCATCAGATTTATTCATATCAGAAGATCATTTAACTCGTCGAGATTTGGTTCATATATTTATCTTTTCCTGATGCAACTGATGAGTCATTTTGCTTTTGGATTTCATTTATGCACAGATTTAATTATTTCAACTCTTTGATGTGGCTTTTTCCCCCTTAAAAATATACACCAAACTTTAAAAAGTTTGTGATTGGTAACAAATATGGTAACACTTTAATTTAAGTAACAATTTACAATTTTTTCAAATAACAACACCATTTACTACTGGCTCATTACCTGCCTATTATTGGAATATTAACTGTTTATTAGCACTTATAAAGTATGATCTTATTTTACAGCCCTAATCAATACCTAAACACAACTGCTACCTTCTAACTATTAATAAGCAGCTTAATAGTAGTTAATTGAGCTAAATGTCCTAGTTATTGGTTTATTATTAGCGTCAATTGTACATTAAAATAAATTGTGAGCATAAATCTATATTTTAATTGTATTAATTTTAAAAGAAGGGTCGGACGGTAGCTCAGTAGTTAGCACTGTCACCTCACAGCAATAAGGTCGCTGGTTTGAGTCCTGGCTGGGCCAGTTGGGGTTTTGGCATGGTGTCCTCCGGTTTCTTCCACAGTCCAAAGACATGTGCTATAGGTGAATTAAAGAAACTAAATTGGGCGCAATGCATGGGTGCTTCCCAGTACTTGGTTGCAAAAGGAAAAAACAAACATATGCTGGAATAGTTCATTTTGCTGTGGCAACCTTTGAAATAGAGATTTGAGACTCCTATATAAAGATACCTCTGCGTCAAGCGCACGTGTATGGCGCAGCCTGTGAGCCTGTGGCTGACGCCGACACGGACATGCGCCTCTCATAAAATGAAACTACACATCGTAGCGTTGCATAGCTCAAGCTCTGCGATTGGTCAGCTTGGTAGGTGTGACCAGTGTGGGTGGGGCTGAGAGCCGCGCTGACCCATTGGAGCTAATGTTTTCGATTGTAGAGTCCTGTAAAGTAGATTTGGAGGGAAACTGATGTTTTGTGTTTACCTTATGATTAATGTTGTTGCACTTCTGCTAATTCCTGCCTCGTAATGAACGACTTTTAGCTATTTCTACATTAAGGTTGCGCTCAGAAGAAAAAAACACCAATGATAAAACTTGACACTGAGGAACATAAACACCTACTGCCAGGTAGTGTTTTGGAAGTGTTATTGCAGAGCAACAGGAGCAACGCAGAAGTATAAATGCACGCAGAAGTATAAATGCAAGACTGCGCGCAAGGCAGGCACCGTGGGTCACATCGATCACTCACAGAAGTGCAAAAGTATAAATCAGAACCCAGAAGTATAGATCAGCCTCAAGCCCAAGGAAAATGAATAAAAGAATGAATGACATCTTGTCTGCTCACCAAGGCTGCATTCATTTAATAAAAAATGTGATTATTTTGTTAGATATTAATGTAAATCAAATGTAATGGTTTTCTGTGTGAATGTGTTTGAAAATGCAATTTATGACCCAAAGCAGAGTTTTTAGCATCATTACTTAGCATCATAAATAGCATGATAAGATGGTTAAATAATCTGTTATGATCAGTTGTTATTGGTGCACAATCATATTTATTAGTTCTCATTGTCAAAACTGAAAACTTGTTTTGTACTTTATTATTTGTGAAAACTGTGATGCATATTTAAATAAATTTTTACAATATTATAAATCTTCTTATCACTTTTGATCAATTATTATATAATTTCATACAGTTAAAGTCAAAATTATTAGCTCGCCTGTGAATCTTTTAAATATTCCCCAAATGATGTTTAACTGCAAAAGGAATTTTTCACAGTATTTCCTATAATATTTTTTCCTCTGGAAAAAGTCTTATTTGTTTTATTTCAGCTAGAATAAAAGCTGTTTTTAATTTAATTTTTAAAACCATTTTAAGGTCAATATTATTAGTCGCCTTAAGCATTATATTTTTGATTGTCTACAGAACAAGCGTATTTAACCTAGTCAAGACTAAATTTGAAAGTCACATTAGGCTGAATACTAGTATATTTAAAAATATCTAGTTAAATATTATGTATTGTCATCATTCATTCATTCATTTTTTTTTTGGCTTAGTCCCTTTATTAATCCGGGGTCGCCACAGCGGAATGAACCGCCAACTTATCCAGCACGTTTTTACGCAGCGGATGTCCTTTCAGCTGCAACTAATCTCTGGAAAACATCCACACACACTCATTCACACTCATACACTACGGACAATTTAGCCTACCCAATTCACCTGTACCGCATGTCTTTTGGCTGTGGGGGAAACTTTAGCACCCGGAGGAATCCCACACGAAGCAGGGAGATATTGTCATCATGGCATCTATAAAATAAAACAGTTATTAGAACTGAGTTATTAAAACTAATGTGTTAAGAAATGTGTTTAGAAAATCTTCCTTTTCGTTAAAAAGAAATTGGGCTAATAATTCTTTAACTATTTTAAAAGGATGATTTCTCAAAGATGTAATGATTTGCATTTTACATATTATGATTTTTCACAAGTTTTATTATATATGAATAAATAAATTCAGTCTTGCAGACCATAAGAGACCTTTTGTGATGATCAAAATCTTAAACATTTGCTCAGTAATTTATATTCAAAAGGGCAGTTTTGTCTTATCAATGTTAAAACAAAAAACTAATCACAATTTACCTTTCACTCAAATGCATGATAGTTTCAAGTATCAAGTGATGATGTTAAACAGCATCGACTTCAGTTCCGACAAATCAACATGGACTTCACCCTTGAAGAAGGGCCACCGCAAATGAATTACAATTAAACGAACAAATCAAAATGAATTATCAGCCGATTGAGGGCTAATAGTTGTGTGTTTGCACAGTGTGCATGACTAGCCGCGGTTGGAAGCCGTAAAAGCAAACAACACAAAAAAAGAAAACACAATCACCAGTGTAATTAAACCCTATCCAAATCTACTGCGACAATTAAATGCATAATTCATTCATGTTGACTGTTTTGCGAGCACAATGTCATCAGCAAGGTTTCTGAATCTGCTAAGTTTTTCCATTTATTTATTATTAGTATAACAGTAAACAAACGAGAGATGAAACAAGCTCAAATGAAAAGCTTTAGAAATGAAAATTTTGTGTTTTTCTCTGCTGCAAACACATCTTAAACAATCTATATGTACACATTTGTTATCTGTTAAAGGATGATGATTAAAAAATACTTAGCATTTACTTTTCTTTAAGTGGTTACAATTCTTTATGAGTTTCCTTTTTTCCATCTTGCTAACATATTTTGAAGAATATTGGAAATCAGTAGCTGTTGACGTTAATAGTAAAACAATGACATCACATAGTAAAACTAAAAAATGTATTTAAATAACAGTGTTTGACTTTTTTTTCCCTTTTCCAACTATTTCCCAATTTTTTTATTTTTTATTTTTTATTTTTTTTTACAGAGCAAGGAATTTTTCACAGTATTTCCTATAATATATTTTTTTCTTCTGGAGAAAGTCTTATTTGTTTTATTTCAGCTAGAATAAAAGCAGTTTTTAATTTGTTTAAAACCATTTTAAGCTCAATATTATTAGTTTATTAGCTAGCATATTGGACATTGGTAGCATTTGACATGTATAGTAAAATAACGACATTGTATAGTAAAACAATTGTAATTATTGACTACAGCACTGTCAAACATACGTGCAAATTAGCAGTTTTCAACATCACAAGTCGACATAAAGGCTGATTTATACTTCTGCCTCGAGTGATCAGTGTGACTCACAGCGCATGCCTTGCGCATAGCCATGTGTTTATAGTTCTGCATGCTGTTTGTGTTTCTCTGCAATAAACCTTCTGAAACAATACCGTAGACCCGGTGCAACGCAATTGTTGTTTGCTAGTTTCAGCTAGGCGCAAGATTCGTTTTGACGTTTTACACCATGTTGTTTAAATAGCAAATGCATTTGTGCTCATATGTGTGCCCATAGGCGTTCTGGTCTAAAAAAGGAGGCGTGTTGAGGTGCGTTGCTATTTTGAAGAACTACACAAGACTGTTCCATACAGACTGCTTAATACACACAGGATGTACAGAAATACGTTAAAAAAGTAAAAAAAAAAATAATTGAAGGATTAAAATATTACAAAAAAATGTTATTTTCTAGGCTACATAAATATAAAAATCATATTTTTTCAAATCCCGGTTCGAGGACATTTCCCTTCCCTACCCCCCTCTCTCTCCAACTTTGCTTCCTGTCTCAATACTGTCCTATCTACTAAAGGTAAATGACCACAAAAAAATAAACAAATAAATAAAACAATAAATAAATAAACAAACAAATAAATAAATAAATAAATAAATAAATAAATAAATAAATAAATAAATAAATAAATAAATAAATAAATAAATAAATAAATAAATAAATAAATAAATAAATTGTTACTTGCATTTCACCAAATGGCCAACAAGTGTTTCTGAATTATGCTAGTTTATGTGAAACATAGCACATCAAAAATGTCCTGTAGAAATTACAGTATCTTACTGGAACATTATGCCAGCAATTTCCTTTAAATCAAACGAACAGCCAAAAAATATTGCATTATTATTTATTGTACCATTTCTCTTGCAATATATATTTATAATACTGAATAGCCTTAATGTAAAATTTACAGTATTTTTATTCTTCTCACCTGTAATACGATTAAAAAAATAAAAATAAAAACTTATAATTGATTGTTATTTTATCTATTTACTGTAAAACAGTACATATTGGTAAATGGTATTTCAATTCTCAGCAAAACAAAAATACTGTTTTAATGGTGCTAAAGGTCTATTTCCCACAAAGCAACATAAAAATACTGTAACATGCAAAACTGTAATACAGTAAAAAACTTCATATTAACATAAATACTGTGTGATTAAAAACAAAAGATCTGTTAACAGTGTACATATAGCTCTTTAAATCAGAATCTGCTGGACATTAATTGAAAAACAGCTTGACCAGGCATGAAGTCTGAACCAGCTCAGATGAGATTTGAGTCTAATTTGGTTTTAGTTTGACTCACTTTGATCTGTTCTGTTGGTGTAGCTGTGTCTAAATATGTCTTAGGTTCTTCCACCCACATTCAGGATGTTATATTGGATTTGAGATTGTGTTCCCAGTGGATGCAAATACAAGTGCTGCATTCAAACCCCCCACTGTTTTAGTCTCACAAAAACCTGGCAAAAATGTGTTGCTTTGGGTTTCACACCTCAGGAAAACTTTTGCTCAACACTTTAACAAATGGCAGATTTCATTCCAAAGTGCTGTAAATACTAATGTGATATTTATGTTGTATTAGCCATTTTGTATTAACGATTTCCTCCAAAGCACTGTGCACATAAATAGAATGCGTCTTGTCACTCTGGGAAACATATACATGAATCATTTCTATGCCTCATTTAGAGATTATTTTTTAGCTCAGTCTTAGTTCTTTTACCAAATGCCAATTTTGCAGGGTAATTATACTAATTTTGAAATTATTATTTTAGGATGTTATTTTGTTCACTATTTTGTTTGAAAAAGTCATTTCAGATTTAATTTGAACCATTCCGAAACCTAGTTAGCTCCTTGTGTAGGGACTGTTTTAGGTTATTTAATGCACATTCTGTTCTAGAGTAGAAACTTGATTATACTTTAAGATACCTACTGTAGAAAACTTCACATGCCCTACTGTAGAAGTCAGTTGAAGCCAGTCCCCTAATGCACTACAATAAATACTAATTGTGGTGCATACATTTTTTTACAGTGGTTCAAGGACTTTACAAGTCATTACAGTGTATCTATGTATGTCAAACAATTTATTTCTCCTGTCTTCAGTCTCATAAACTCTCACAATCCTTTATAAATTAGTTATAAAAATTGTGAAATTGTTCTTTAGGATTTTCTTTTATTCTGTATTTCATTTGAAAAAGTTATTCTTAACCCTCCTGTTACACTAAACTCTGCTTACACCTTTTATCCACTGGGGTCAATTTGACCCCAGCAATTTAAAACCTCCAGAATACTAAAAGTTTAGTGTCAGGTAATTAATGTCATTGTTGACTACTTAACAACACTCTGAAATTCATAGTCCCCACTCCCAACCCCCACTTCCTGCCCTTAATATATACATATTAATACAGATTAATACAGTTTCTGTTTAACGGAGAGCAAATTTTTTCAACACATTTCTAAACAAAATAGTTTAATAACTCATTTCTAATAACTAATTTATTTATTTAACTGATCTTTGCCATGATGACAGTACATAATATTTGACTAGATATTTTTAAAGACACTTCTATACAGCTTAAAGTGACATTTAAAGGCTTAACTAGGCTATTTAGGTTAACTAGGCAGGTTTGGGTATTTAGGCAAGTTATTGTATATGGATGGTTTGTTCTGTAGACTATCAACAACAAAAGGGGCTAATAATTTTGACCCTAAAAATGGCATTAAAATATTTGAAAACTGCTTTTATTTTAGCCAAAATAAAACAAATAAGACTTTCTTCAGAAGAAAAAATATTATCAGACATTCTGTGAAAATGTCCTTGCTCTGTTAAACATCACTTGGGAAATATTTAAAAAAGAAAAACAAATTCAAAGGGAGGCTAATAATTCTGACTTTAACTATATATATATATATATATCTCAAGTGATTTACATGTGAACTCAATGCAATGATGCGGTTAGACATCCTGTGGCACAAATCAAGTGAATAACAATGCGTGAATTGGGTGTTTTGACCGTTTGACGTACGTCAGACTGCAAAAAAAAAGTGGGTGCAAACATCTAACAAACGAAACAGTGGAACAGTCAGAAAAGCAGCTTACAATGATGGAGATTGGTTCAAGGATGACGGCCACTGGACGTGACTGAATTGTAATTACTTTTGCTTTACATGTATGATGTACATCAAATCAATAAAGGAATCATGTTTTAGGTGTATTACGGTAGGGGAAGCCTAAACACATGTCCTGAGTGAGGTACATAATGTCAGATGCTCCGTGGAGCGAAATCTGAGAAAGAGAAAGTAAGATCGTGGAATAAGAGTCACACAACTTTCCTTTGGCTTAATCCCTACAGTTTATTTCTGTTTTAATTCTGACAAGAGAGCAAAACAAAGAAGCTTTTTTTTTATATTTGTGTTATTGTCATTGGGTTTTTTTTATCGCAAAAAATCACAAAAAAAATTGTGAAAAGCTGAGTCTGATTATACAATGACGTCCCTAATTATCCTAACTTGCCTAATTAAGACTGACACTTTAAGCTGAATACTAGTATTTCGAAAAAAATATCTAAAATAGGATGTACTGTCATCATGGCAAGGATAAAAGAAATCAGATATTAGAAATTAGTTATTAAACTATTATTTTAAAAATACATTGGAACAAATATACCGGGGGCCGATAAGTAGGGCCAGACGGAATCTGCGGACGTTTTTTGCTATTTCTGCAGAGAATTTTGGTAAAAATTTGCAGATTTCTGCGGAATTATTTTGGGAGTATCCAACTGAGTATCATAACTAAAACCTTAATATATTAAATAAAAATTAATAAATTACTGAATAAAAACTGAATAAATTCAGATTTACACATTTACTCAAGTAAATAAACAGAATTAATAAGGGGCTTAAAATCTTCAGAAATCTGCGGAAAATCTGTGGAAAATCTGCGGAATTCTGCGCGCTCAGATTCCGTGTGGGCCTACCGATAAGTCAGGAGGGCTAATAATTCTGGTTCACCTGTATCTATAGACAGTTATAAGTCAAACAGAGCCAATGACAAGAGTAAAACTCACCTAAATAATTACATTACAGCTTTGTGTTATACCATGAGGTTAAAATCTTGCTTCTAACCCACTCTTTCTCCTCCAGCTCTACAGCTCTGTTGAGTTTGGCCGTCGCTGGCAGCTTGTTCACGAGCGGGTGGCGCCCAATCGATTCTACTGGTAAGCTCTCTGTGTGATTTCTTCTTCATCAATCATTCCAGCTCCTCGCGTTCTGCGGCTGATAAAAGAATAAAGCCGAAAACACGGATTGTTGATCTTCCCCACTGTGTCTCACCACCAACACCACCTCCGTTATTTTTTCTTTTTTTTTAACCTCCAAACCTCAGAAGTTTTCTTTAATGACTGCTGTCGTTAGGCCTTGTTACCGAGTTCAAGTCTGCATTTTCAATGTTGCAAATGATTTAGTCATTAAGGAAGCTTCTTCAACTCGATCAGGACGGCTAATAGATGTCTAGACTGCGGTGATTAAAGAGACCTGTTGAGAAATAAAATCTAAATGCGCTTCGATTTTGTGTTTATCTCCGGTCTCAAGTGGACAAGCTGGAATGAACTGAAAGGCAGTTTGGGTTTGATTGATTTTCTTCTTTTTTTTTTTTTTTTTTGTCTTTCTGACAAGTTTATTTAGGATGTATTATAAACTATACTGCGCTAATTCTTGCCTACCAAGGGGAGAAAAAAGAGGAAGGCAAATGCATGAATAAATCAGATTAATAGTAATAATTATCTGATAGTAGTAGTCATACAATATAATTTTTTTATCTTATAAATTCACTTTTATAATTAAGGTTTCATCTGATTTTTACCTATTGGATTGTCGGCGCTGTCTGAAAATCTGAATAAATGTATTTTCCCCAATGCACAAGCCATTATTTTCTGATGTTGCAAACTGTTAATCGAGTGTGTCAAATATTCAGAAATATAAAGCTTATGTCATATTTGTTGCATCCAAACTTGTCATGTCTATATTCACTAATTTCCATTTTGGCACTGAGATTATTTTACATAATTACATACAAATGCATATAGTGAAAAGTTATGTTATCACTAGAATTATAGCATTTAAAATTTAGAATCAGTGTCACTTTAGTATCACTGAGTAACTATTGTAGTTTTTATTATTGCATTGTAATATTTTTATTCTTTTATATTTGTGTTATATTTTGTTTATATATTTGTATATTTGGGTAGGATTTTTAAATGTTTTGGAATAAGCTTTTCGTGCTCACCAAGGCTGCATTTTTTAAATAAAAAATACAGTACAAATTGTAAAATTGTAAAAGGTTATTGCAGTGTAAAATAATATTTAAATAATAAATATTTGATTTAATAATTTATTGCAGTGATTTTAATGATGAATTTTCAGCTTACTACTACTACTACTACTACTACTACTATTACTATCAATAATAATAATAATAATAATAATAATAATAATAATAATAATAATAATAGCAACAATAATAATAATAATAATAATAATAATAATAATAATAATAAGTATTATTATTATTATTATTATTATTAATTAATTAATGTATTTATTTATTTATCTATAAATTCATTTATGTTTAATTATTTATTTTTTATTATAAATGGTGTAATGGTAATAAAAGCAACAATGACTGGACTACTATTTACATTTGAAAATACGTACAATAATAAAAATAAATAAATCAATAAATATATTTAATAAGTAAATAATTTACAATTTAACTTTTTTTTTTTTCATTTAATTTTTTTGCAAATTGTAATTCTTGTTTTCCCTCTTATTTTAAAATTTCTCAAACATATTATTGACTTATTCGTTTTAAACATTGTATCTTGAAAAATAGTTTCTTGAAAAATATCTAGTCAAATATTACGTCTTGTCATCCTATCAAATATAAAAGAAATCAATTATTATTAATGAGTTAATAAAATTATTATATTTAGAATAAAGAATAAAATTATTCTTTCTGATAAACAGAAATTGAGGAGGAAAATATACAGTGGGGCTAATATTTCAAGAGAGCTAATAATTCTGACTTTAACTGTAGGTAAAAAAAAAAAAAAGTGAAACTGGAGAAAAAATGATCCATGTCTCAAGAATCAATAACTCACAGTGTATTTAATGCGTCAATCACAGTGCTATTTATACTTGTTTTCCACTTTCATTGATCACGTCCATCTTTTACACTACTCATGTTCGCGTCTTGTTTTTTGGAAGGCGTTTTGTGTCAGGTTTTTGCATAAGCGCATGCAGCCAAAGTGGGACAGAGCACAGCCATCAGAGAGTCAGCCTGAAGTCGTGTTATTTTTAGGCTGGTAATGATCCATCCTCACAAGTTCCCCTCTATGAACTCTCACATATAGAGTCCTATTATCTGAAGTGAGACGAGACATATAACCCGAACAAATGTGTAGCTATTGACTATGTGAAATTAGATTGTCCCTTCTGATGAGATACACCACCACGGTCACAGCCGCTATAGGAGATGATTGAAGAAACTGAATGGATGAAATGGACTTTTGTGTCCGTCAGCGCTTCAAAAAGGGGGAACTCAGATCTGATTTGGCTCTTTTTCTGGCCTAATATCCGCACAGATTTAAAGTCTTGCTGGAAGTGAACGAGTCAGAGCTCCTTCACCTTTTGCTATTGATCTGAAATCGAAATCTAGACAGTCCATATTTAAGAAGGAGTTGTTGTAAGATGTAATGTGTCTGTTCTTTTGTGTTGAGCCATAGATAAGCTACGCAAAAATCGGTTCCAAAATCGAAATTGGATTATTTAAACAATAATGACGTAGGGATAATCGTTCTGTGATAATGACCATGCTCGCATACATTGAGGCAGTTTTCAAGACTGAATTTGTCAGGGTTCTGCCACTCTGGTCTTGTAAATTCTTGTTTTGGTGGCAGAGCTCTGACACTAGCTCAGTCTCGTTCTCTTTCTGTCATTGTGTGTCTCTGTGTGCGCACGCCGTTGTGGGTGTACGCAGAGTGTGCGCGCTCCCGCTTGCT